TCTCTGACAAATAAATAAAATCTTTAAAAAAAAAAAAAACCTCTTTCAGAAAGTTTTTATTCTGTATACCAAGCAACAGAAGTGGCTGTTCAGGAAGAGGTTATAGAAGTTGTTCTGCAGAGGTTTTTGGCTTCCGCACCTCTGAGATTATACTGTTATTGCCAAGAAGCATGTGTGAAAATCCCCTACTCTGGGCCACATGATGGCGCTTTTAGCTCTGTCAGCATTAACCATTCACCCTAATTTTATCTTTTAAACCATCATTTGATTCTCAACATTTGTCCTTCCTTCTTAGTTTAAACTCCTAATTTTAGGTTACAAAGAAACTTCCAAGGCTTGTCAGAGCCTACAGTCAAACAAAACAGGATTTCTAAGTGTAACTATACGACTATTTAAATGAGCACGGTGTCTCAGAGGAACACAGTGTATGTGGTCTGCTTCTGGCCACCAAGTGGGTGAAAAATTTCTAACTCACAACATGAGAAGCATCATACTGCATCATGACCCAGTCCATCTAGGTCAATGTTTTTTGTCTCTCACACGGCATCAGGAGACATTTTGTGAGAAGCACTGCTATTCTCCATGACATTAAAGATATACTCTAGATATTTTTTCAGACCTTAATAATAAAAATGAGGGAGTAGAAAACCTCTAAGGCCCCTTCTGACTCCAAAGCCTCAACAGAAGTATGGAGCTAGAATTTATGAATTTGTCTAAATCTTTCTTAAATCTATCTATACATATTTACCAATGAGGTAGTGAGCCTTCTGTGATATAAAATAATACCTTAGAAATGTTAAGAGACACTACAGATTTTAGTATTTTGGTATCTGATGAAGAAATTTATATTAGATTTCACAGCAATGTAAGAAAGACTATATTGAGTCAAATTCAATTCTATTTCCAAATAGTGTGCAAGATCATGGTGTCCCTGAAGATGTCAACTTCAAGTTGCTCTGAACATGCTATACAACATTCCTGTTTTTCTTCATAATTGAAAAACTTTGATCCAATCCTTTATCAACCTTCATCTTTACAGACTGAAGAGTTCAAATTATTTAAGTCAGTAACTTTTAATCTAAACTTGTAAATGAGACAGACTTCCCTAAAAGTAGTATAACTTTCCCTAGTCTTATGCTGATAATTTTAATTTTCATCACTTTTATAAATAAGACATTTCCTATCTAGCACACTTTCACTACAGTGGCAGTGACTGACTCAGAACTGTAAAACATTAGAATTAAAGGGAACTAAGAGGTTAAATGCAACTTTCTACTTTGCAAATGAGGAAACTGAGGCTTACTGTTGAGGATAACACTTTCTGACAGTAACACAACTAAAAACCTAAGCTAGATACAACAAAACAGTACTCTTAAAACTGTGGATCAGAATCAACCAAGTAAATGGGTTGCTAACAGCATTTTAAAAAAGTAACAGAGTAGAAAATATCAGAGGCTTTTGTGTTATAAGGATAAATGTAATTTCATAAAACTTTGAGTTATCTGTATTAGATCATAATGTAAAATATACTTATGGTGCTCAAAAATTTTGGAAGTCACTGCGATAAAATATTCAATTCTTTGAGTGGATTTTTAAAATTTCCTTTATTTTTTAAAAATTTAAGATTTATTATTATTTAATAATTATTAATAAAATAAATAAAAATTACATTATGATTTAATTATGATGGTGATGTAATTTATTATGATGACACTTTAAGTTAATAAAAATATCTCTGCATTAAATGCTAAATGTTGCCATTTAAAAGAAACATTTTTTCCTCTTTAAAAGAAGATAGGTTCTGAATGTTATACCCCATATCATTTGTGAACAGACTTTCTTTAAAAATCACATTTCTGTAGAGCTTACACGTGCACCAGCTAGAAAGGCTTTTGAAAAGAACGCTGAATTCTAGAATTCTTACCATTAAAACACTTAAAAATATCATTCTCTGAAGACACAGTGACCTCTAGTGGATTCATGAAATAAACTAACATAAGGCTTGCCCATAAGAATTTATAAATTAAGGTAACACTGATGCATGCAGATATAAAAGATATTAATATGGCTGTATACTGACAAGTATCATACATAAATAAGGGCTACAGTTACACTATGTACACTGTGACAATTGTATATTTGTAGATTACTCACTGGTTACTTCCAATCACCTGGAATCCTGGCACTGTTCAGAACCTATCACTAGCTTATGAAATACATTTAATCTTTCTGAGCTCCTTTGATAAAGATGTTGGGTTAAATTGTATCTAAGGGTCTTTCAGCTCTTTAATTATGATCTTTCCTTCTTTAATTCATCTTGTACACCAATGTCAGATCAAATTCTGTTCAAAAGCATTTGAAGGCTCCCCAATACTTGTCCCCATTAGAATTAAGTACAAATTTGTTTCACTCGTGTACTCGTTATGCCATCCCATTAACATTTCAATTTAAACTCACAGATTTGGGGGCGCCTGGGTGGCTCAGTGGTTAAGCTCAGGTCATGATCCCAGGGTCCTGGGATCGAGCCCCACATCGGGCTCCCTGCTCAGTGGGAAGCCTGCTTCTCCCTCTCCCACTCCCCCTGCTTGTATTCCCTCTCTCACTGTGTCTCTGTCAAATAAATAAATAAAATCTTTAAAAAAAAAAACATTTAAAAAAATAAATAAAATCTTAACAAAAAGATAAACTCACAGATTTGGTTTTATAATTGTGTGTGTGCTCATACAGGTGTGGGTAGCCTGTCGTATACTAAGCACATACTACACACACTGAATCTAAATTAAATTGATTTGTATAGATTAAGGAAACCAAGGCCATTTTCATCTTTCTTTTTTAGTGAGGTAGGGAAGGGCATATAGATAAAGTGGAATTTCAAGAACCACAAATATAAAGTGACAGAGCTTCATATTCTGGGAAAAGGTGGGCATTCTGAACATAGAATAAGATTTAAGGAAAAAGAGGGAAGAACTTTTAAATTAGCTGAAGGAAGTACCAATAACTATATCTGAAGAATATGAAGGTGATAGAAAGCCTGGTTTGGTAAATGGTTTTGAAGCAGATATGAAGATGGGCTAAATTTAATAAGTAGAGAAGATATCACTGGAAACAAAGTTAAGGGTAACTTAAGGAAACACTAGTTGTAACAGCTCAGGAACGGAATATGTAGCTGCCATAAGACTAAGGAGGCAATGAGTAGCTCTGCTGAAAGAAATGTTAAGAAAGAAAAAAAAGTGTTAGCAAAAAAGGTGCTCTTAGGTCCCCAGTCACCTTGGACAATGGTACAATCCTTTATCCTCTAAATAAAAAAGTCAGGCTGGTGGAGAAATAGTGAACAATTTAGTCTTCATTATGTGTAATTCACTTAACAAAGGCCATAGGGTGGTGTGTTTTACATAATCTTTTTTTTTTTTTAGAGAGAGTATGTGAATGAGGCGGGGGGGGCGCGGCAGGAAGGGATAGAATCTTTTTTTTTTTTAAACAGTTTTATTTATTTGACACAGAGAGAGGGAGATAGTGAGAGAGAGAGAGAGCACAAGCGGGGGAGCGGCAGGCAGGCAGAGGGAGAGGGAGAAGCAGCCTCTCTGCTGAGCAAGGAGCCCGATGTGGGACTCGATCCCAGGACCCTGGGATCATGACCTGAGCCGAAGGCAGCCGCTTAGCTGACTGAGCCACCCTGGTGCCCCAGGATAGAGAGAATCTTAAGCAGACTCCAAGCTGAATGCAGAGCCCAACAAGGCATGGTGCTCAATCTCACAACCCTGAAATCACGACCTGAGTCGAAATCAAGTCAGACGCTTAACCAACTGAGCCACCCAGGCACCCCTTGACATACTCTAAACCACAGAGCATTGGATCTGTAGGCAAAGGTGTCAGCCAACAAAGGGACTGTCCCTCAGTACAAATGATGCTAGTTCAAACTACAGTGGTTTCATATTACCTTGTGCATCAGATAAGACTTTAATAAACTTTTTTTAGGCAAAGATCTTTAGTTAACTTGGGTCTCATTACATTTACATCATTAAGTTTATTTAGCATTGATACTCTTTTACTACATGCCTTGCGTTGAAATATTCTCTATGAAACATGAGTTATTTGGGACATTTTTTTTTTAAAAGATTTTATTTATTTATTTAATTGACAGAGAGAGAGAGAGAGAGACAGCAAGAGAGGGAACACTAGCAGGGGGAGTGGGAGAGGGAGAGGCAGGCTTCCCGCTGAGCAGGGAGCCCGATGCGGGGCTCAATCCCAGGATCCTGGGATCATGACCTGAGCCAAAGGCAGTCACTTAACCAAGTGAGCCACCCAGGCGCCCCTGGGACATTATTTCATTTAAGCCTGTTTGAAATTGGACAATACAGTTCAATTACACAACAATTTTTGTTACCTTTTATAGAAAAGGTAGATTATGGCATTTACCCCTCAACAATAAATTTTCTCTCAAATTCAACAACTAAAATGTTGCAAATGTTTAAACATTTCCCAAGAAGCAAAACCCCAGAAATGTTCATATGCCTTTTTGCTAAAAATTATATTGGATTTCTTTAAATTTATAAAATACTGTACTGATTTTTAATAAAGATTGAGTGATTAGTAACCTGAACTTTTTAACCTTAGTACATATTTTTTGTTTGTTTTTAGTACATAGTTTTCTAACAACAAAGTCAGGTCAGCTGGATCCTAAGATCTAGTATCTCCTGGAAAACTTTAACATTCTTACTCTAGGATTATTATACTAGTAGGATTAATAGAAATAATTGGCATAGCAGAAAGCAAAGTTCAGGTTTTGAGACTAAAGCTAAAACAACTAAGAAATAACATTTATAATTATTAATTTTCTGATTTTAAGTATAAAATTCTTAATAACTATGCTTAAAATATAGCCGTTTCCCCACAATTAAAATGTGTACAATGGTAAATTCTACAGAAAACTAGGACTACTCTCTATATATCTCAAAAAGTTGGACTATATCAACAAATATATAAGTAATGATTTAAATTACCTTTCCTCTTCTCGAACCCATACTGGAGTTTTAGGAATTTGCGCTTCAAAAAACTTAGATGCTTTATAACAAAAATTGCTGCAAAAACACTGAAAGGAACATTTTTAAAATTAGCAAATTATTTTTTTCTTATTGTGCAACACTATTTATGTACAGAAAATATAAATATATAGTTCAAAGAAAATAACGAAAACCCAAGAATCCACCACCCAAGATAAGAAATAATGTATAGTACCTTTGAAGCTCTCCATGTATCTGTTCCAGAGTCATTTCCATATTCCCCAGAAGTAATCACTATCATAAATTCTGTGTTCCTCATTCCCTTGCTTTCTTTAGTTTTGCTATCTATATACACATACCTACAAAAGATATCATTCAGTTTTGCCTAATTCTAAACTTTGTGTAAATTAACTGTACTGCTATGTTTTCTGGGTTTTTTTTGTTCCACGTTATATTTTTCAGATTCATGTAGGTGTACCTTATATATTTATGCTCGGTATTACATTCCATTGTGTAAGTATATTACTTTTATTGTTTATGAATAATTGAGTTGTTTCTAACTTTTTGGCTATCACTACAATGTGCCTATAAACATTTTTTTAAGAATTTTTAAAATTAAAAAAATTGTTGTAAAATACACAAAATTTACCATCTTAACCATTTTTAAGTGTTATCGTTCAGTGGCACTAAATACCTTCTCGCTGTAGTACAACCATCACCACCATCTATCTCTAGAACTCTTTTCATCTTGCAAAATGAAACTCTATACCATTAAACAGCTCCCCATTTCTGCCTCTTTAATCACCATTCTACTTTTGTAACTATGAATCCAACTACTCTAGTTACCTCACATAAGTCGAAGCATTTAATATTTGTCCTTTTGTGCAGGCTTATTTCACTTAGCATAATGTCTCATAAGTACATAATGTCTTAAAGTACATTCATGTTGTAGCATGTGTCAGAATTTCCCTCGTTTAAAAGGATAATATTCCATTCTATGTATATAGCATATTTTGTTAATCCAACTAGAAACATTCATATACATACATAGTTGTACAAATGGGCAAGAAATTCCTTAAAATATACACCAAACAATAGAAAGTCTTGGCCATAAAAAATGTGTGAACTTGACTTTACTAGATAATACCAATTTCTCAAAAAGGATGCAATTTTATTTAACCAGTAGTATAAACAGTTCCTAATATTTAACCAGTAGTATAAAGAATGCCTAATATTGTCAGATTTTATTTTTTTTTAATTTTTTTATTTTTTTAAAGATTTTATTTATTTCAGAGAGAGAGAGAATGAGAGATAGAAAGCACGAGAGGGAAGAGGGTCAGAGGGAGAAGCAGACTCCCTGCAGAGCAGGAAGCCCGATGTGGGACTCGATCCCGGGACTCCAGGATCATGACCTGAGCCGAAGGCAGTCGCTTAACCAACTGAGCCACCCAGGCGCCCAATATTGTCAGATTTTAATTTTGCTAATTTGGGGGCTGTGAGAATGTAAATCAATGTGTTTTTATTTGCTATTTCCCTGATTACTGATAAGGCTGAACATCTTTTCATATATTCATAATCAAGTTCCTTCCACAAAATTTTTCTAGGGGTACCTGGGTGGCTCAGTTGGTTAAGCATCTGACTCTTGATTTTGGCTCAGGTCATGGTCTCAGGGTTGTGAGATAGAGCCCCGTGTCAGACTCCACGCTCAGCTTGAGATTCTTTCTCCCTCTCTCTCTGCCTGCCCCCCCCAACTCGCTCACTCTCTTACAAAAAAATTTTTTTTTCTGCAAGGTTTTCTGTCTCTCCCTGGTTATGAATCTGTGGTCAGTTATATGTGGGAAATACACCTCCTTCTGATTTATAGCTTATCTTTTCACTCTTTTTTGGAAACTTCTGATAAGCAAATGTTTTTAATTTTAATGTAGAAAAACTTACGAATTTTTCTTCTATTGTCTGTAATTGTCTATCTTATTTAAGAAATTTTCTCTCCAAGTTTATAAAGATACCTTCCCATATTCTCTTTAAAAAGGCGTTTATCTTTTTAATTTAAATATTACTGAAACAGGGACCAATTTTCAGTTTTTCCATTTGGATTTGTGCCAGTACTACTTTACTGAAAAATCCATACTTTGTCCACTGATCTATAAT